TGTGGGAGTCTCCAGCCGCATTAGCACTTGTCTCCAAATACCTGAATGACTTACCTGAACTGGACAGGATTTCTGCTCTCTCTACTTGTTCCCTCCCTTCCTGTCTTTTTTTCTGTGGTGGTTATTTTTATTCCTTTGTCCTCAGGAAGCAAGTACAGATCAGGTTCTAGGGCCATCAGCATTTCCAGGGTCCCACGGCAGCAGAATGGGAAGGGAAACATGGAAATCCAATCACCCTGTCGGGCAACGACCCAGGAAGTTGCTCTGACAGTGCATTTCATAAATGGAGAAGCATTTAAGTAAATGTGTTTTATCTTTTAGCTGAACTCTGCTCTTCAAAGAAAGTCATGAATTGTTGTTTGGATGTGGTGGTGGTGGGGGAGTGGGGGGGGAGGCAACACTTCATGTCGCAACCTAAAAAAACCTCAAGAACATCTAAGAAACAAAGTCACTGGCATCAGTATGGAAAGAGTTACAAAGGGACTCCAGATGATAGACATAACCATTATATAGTCACCCACAGGTTTCTGAAGCTTCAACATTATCACCTTTGCTTTCTTTTTTGAGACAAAAGTAACCATATTTGGACATATTTGGTGTTTTTTTGGTGATTTGGTTTTGTAGTTTGTAATTTTTCATCAATCGAGTATAATCAAGTAGGTCTCTGATTAAGAATAGAAAGGTAGTAATCTCATTAAGGTGCCAAAGAAAGACTTAGCTCATGTTCTATCAACAAAAGACCACCACTATCTGTCCTGACTCAGATATTCTTTAACAGAAAGAGCTGACTGATTGTTACCTCTGGGACCACTCTGCTAGTTTTTGCAAGACTCCACTAACCACGCAGGAAAACTGTGACATGTGATGAAAGTTCCCTCTACACATCAGCATTATAACTATGAGAAAGCAGCCAGGCCTACAAAGGGATGACATACAGAGTACTCCATGGACAACGAATCAAAAGTTCTTTTCAGGAATGGAAAAGAGACACACATGTGGGGCGATCGTGGCTCAAGAGTTGG